GCCAAAGCCCTCCCTCGGCTCTGAAGCCATGCACACAGTCCAAGTTGTCTCACCACCACCAGAGGAAGGAATAAGTTCACTCACTGCAGAGGGTGTGAAGAAGGAAGTGAGCTGGCCAAGGATCCAGGCCATGGGGGAAGGAATTAACCAGGCCATGAGTCCAATTACACAGTAGGGACTCACCTCTCCCCCCACCATCCTGGGGACTCCACTTACTCCACAGTTGGGAAGCCCTTCCAGCCACCAGACTCCCCCCACAACACCTCTGCTGCACAGACACATCTCCCCACTCCACTCCAAGGGGACTCAGCTCTTACAGAGGTGGCTTCTTGCCCCACCTCCACGTTCATGTGGAAGGTGGGGGCACCTGGGGGGGATCTCCTCACCAGTCCCCACCCCAAGGCTGGGCAGACCCTGGGGGAAAACCAACCAGGAGGGGTTTTCCTGCCTGGTTGGGGGCATCATCCATCTGTCAACCCTCATTCAGGGCTGGGGTTTAACCCCAGCACTTCAGCTGCTGACATGGGGTAGGAGCTACTGACCCACTGGGACCCAAACCACCACAGATGAAGAAAGAGAAAGAAATCTGAGCAGCATTTCATCCATGTCTCCTCTGCTAGTCCAGGTAAAAGAGACTGGTGAAGAATTATCACAGCTCCAGAACTGTTCAGGGTAGACCTTAGGAAGTTCTTCAGCCTGAGGGTGGTGAGACTCTGGACTAGATGGCCCAGAGAGGTTGTGGATGCCCCTCCTTGGAGGTGTTCAAGGCCAGATTGGATGAGATTTAGTGGGGACTTGGCAGTTCTGGGTTATCAGTTAGACTTGAGGACCTAAAAGGTCTCTTCCACCCTCAACACCTCCATGAACTACAGCTGGGAAAGCCTGCAGAGGGAGGCTGGGAGGAGGCACAGACCTTGGCAGCATAGTGCAGGGCTGGGAGCTGAAGGGCCGTCGCTCTCCCGTTGACGTCGACGCCCAGCTCGGAGACCAGGAACCTGATGGCTCCATCCTGGGCTGTGAGAGCTGCTCGGTGCAGAGCCTGAGCCCCCAGGGCATCCAGGGCACGGGCACAGGCCTGGGGAGGGGAGGGAGGGAGAGGGAGAGCAGTGAGCAGCCTGGCCAGACCTTCCAGGGCAGCCAGCCAAGCAGAACTGTGTCTGCCTGCCATGGACGTGGTGACAGCAATGAACACGTGGGAGAAGGAGACTCCACAACCCCTCTGGGCAGCTGCTCCAGGCTCGGCCACCCTCCCCCCAAAGAAGTTTCTCCTCCTGCTCAGGTGGCACCTCCTGGGTTCCAGTTGGTGCCCGTTGCCCCTTGGCGTGTGGCTGGGCACCACTGAGCAGAGTCTGGCCCCAGCCTCTTGCCCCCCGGGGCCCTTTAGCTCTTGCTCAGCACTGCTCAGATCCCCTCTGAGGCTTCTCTTCTCCAGCTCAGCAGCCCCAGGGCTCTCAGCCTGGCCTGGCACAGAGATGCTCCAGCCCCTCAGCAGCTTCACAGCCCCCACTGGACTCTCTCCAGTAGCTCCTGGTCTCTCTGCAACTGGGGAGCCCAGCACTGGACCAAATACTCCTGAGGTGGCCTCAGTGGGGCAGAGTAGAGGGGGAGGAGAACCTGCCACCAGCAGAACCAAGGCAGTTGGTGGCACCATAATTTGCAGTCTAGAGGCAGCTCTGTGCTCAGTGTTATGAAAAACTAGTGCCAAAAAAAGAACCAGGCAGCTCCCTCTCTCTCCAGCTGAAGCACATAGGATGGGTTTCAACTCTTCAAAGCAGCAAGAATCACCCCACCTCCAACCTTTGTGCTGGTGGAGGCAGGTAGAGGGAGGGAGGTGGGCAGATGACCACCTGAGATGTCTTCTGCAAGTCCCTGAAGGTGAATTGCCAAGAGGATAGAATCAGGGAGTGTTTGGGTTGGAAGGGACCTCCAAAGGTCATCTAGTCCAACCCCACTGCCACAAGCAGGGACATCCCCAGCTAGGTCAGGCTGCTCAGAGCCTCAGCTCTAAGAGCAAGGGGAGCAGAAGCAGGACACAGTGAGGATAGAATCCAGCCTCCTGAGGTCTGCTGGGCCTGACTCAGGGCTTTATAAAACCTAGAAGGTACCAACACTGCCATTGACATTTCCAGTGCTGCTTCCTGGCTGGTGGCCAGGGCAGCACAACGAGGGCATGACATCAACTGCTCCATCTCCACTGGCTGAAATGTGAGACTGGCACTCCTGGTAAGCAAATTTCACCAGTGTTTTCCTCAGCACCACATCTCCACGGCTTGGAAACCCCTCCAGGGGTGGGGACTCCACCACTGCCCTGGGCAGCCTGGCACAGGCCTCCACAGCCCTCCAGGGCAAGAAATTGTTCCCAAAATCCAACCTCAACCTCCCCTGGGGCAACTTGAGGCTGTTTCCTCTTGTCCTGTCCCTTGTTCCCTGGGAGAAGGGACCAACCCCCACCTCTCAAGTGCAAAGATGTCCTCTTGAAAAGTGTGGTACCACCTCCTGTGCCCCACTGCATGCCCTGCTGGAGGCTCAGCTGGCCCATTCAACCTGCCAGGGTGGCATGAAGAGACTCCCTGGCTTTGCCCTGCCAGCTCTCTGCCAGCCCAGTGAGCTGTACTGGTTTGGCACCATGTCCAACAAACCCCAGAGCTGGTGCAGGGGGGAGGCCAAGCGAGGGCAGAGGAGGTGAGGGAGGAGTCCCAGCCCCACCTCCAGGAGAATCAGGCAGTAGGTGGGTTCTGAGCACCTCACATCAGTCCAGCAGTGGATAAATAATGCAGTGCTCTGCTTCCTAGGCGAAACGCACCTGCCTCTAGTGACATCCTGGGGACAGAGGAAATTGGAGCTCACTGGAAGACAACAGGGAAGCAGCAGCTGCCAGGAGAGGGGGAGGCCAGAGATGAGCTGCAGCCAGATCCTTCTGTGTTATCCACCCTCAGCACTGCCCCCACAGCCCCCTGGCACTCCCCAACGTGAGCCTGGGCTTCCACGTGGGGGTCCCCCCTCCTGCCACCACATTGTGTCCCCCTTCCCTTCCCCAGCTCTGGGGTCACAGCCCTGCCCTGAGGTGAGACCTTCACCATCAGCTGAGTCCTGGTGGCTTTACCTGGCAAAATCTTTTTCCCCCTCTAGGGGGTATTTGGCTTTTTTTCACAACTCATTTCTTTAGGATTTGGGCACTTGCTTCTTTTCTTTATGGCTGGGGTGAACGTGGCAGTTCTAGGGGAGGCCCTGGAGGAGGGAGGAGAAGGTTTGGCACCTACCTGGTGTTTCTCCAGGAGCAGCCGGGCGATGCCAACGTGCCCATTCTGGATAGCATCCATAAAGGGAGTGACTCCACATCTGTCTCTGCTGTCAGGCTTGTACTGGCACCTAGGAGAGAAGACAAAAGCCAGGAGAGAGTTGTTGGCTGCTCTGAGATCCTGGCTAGCTGCTTTGGGGCAGGAGACCATCAATGGAAAGGACTGGGAATCCCTAGAGCATGGAAAAACCTGCCTCAGAGCTTTATGGCCTGGGGTCACAGACCTGGGATTCAGCTGGTGCAGTCTGCTCAGCTGCAGGAAAGCCAGGGCTTCATAAATCATTTCTAGTTATAGCCCTTTTTCCCCCCAAACAGAGGATCTCTGGAAGGGGGAAGGTGTGAACAGGCCTTGCACTGGCAGAGGGGAAATCTGAATCACAGAACTGTAGAATCACAGATTCATAGAATGGGTTTGGGTGGGAAGGGACCTTTCAAGGCCATCCAGTCCAACCCCCCTGCAGGGAGCAGGGACAGCCCCAACTAGAGCAGGTTGCTCAGAGCCCTCAACCTCCCCTGGGATGGTGCCAGGGATGGGGCAGTGACCACCTCTCTGGGCAGCCTGGGACAGGGGCTCAACACCCTCAGATTCCAAAATTTCTTCCTTCTCTCTAGTTTCAATCTCCCTCTTGATTTTCAAACCATCCCCCCTTGTCCTGTCCCAACAGCCCCTGCTCCAAAGTCCCCCCCCAGGTTTCTGGCAGTCCTGGCAGCCCCCAGCAGGTCTCCCCAGCTGGAGCCTTCTCCTCTCAGCTGCCCCAGCCCAACTCTCTCCTGCTGGGCTCCCAGCAGAGGGGTCCCCCCCTTGCAGCATTTCTGTGGCCTGTATCCTCACGTAACACCACCCCATCCCAAAATCAAAGCCCACAGGTGTCACTCAGGTTAAAGCTCCATTGAAATGTGAGAAGCCTGAATTAAAATGGAAATCCTGGCTCAGATCACAGGGCTCCATTTATTGCAGGCCAAGTGTGGATGGGAATTATCAGGGCTGCACAGGAGCAGCAGCTGCAGTGCCTGGGGACTGGTTTGGGAGGTGCCAGGGTCAGGGTGACTGGGCACAAGCTGATTTAAAGCCACTTCACAGCACTCACCCCGGAGGAGGAGCAGCCTGAAAAGCCAGCCTGGAGGCCAAGTCCAGCCTAAAGGAGCTGGCAGAAAACTGATTTGTGGCTCTCTTACGGCCTCAGGCACATGGGAAGAGAGGAGAATGAATCAGCAGAGCCAGAAGAGCTGAGTTATATAAGCAGGGCTTATGTCATGGTGAAGTCAGAGCCCACTGGAGCCCATCTGGGGACCAGCTTTGTCTCCACCAGCCCTGAAAAACCCAGAGGCAGCAGAGACAGCCTGGGGATCTCCCACAGGGCAGCTGTGCAGCCAGCCTTCCCCAGCAGCACCCACGGCCTCCCTGAGTCCTGGGAGGCTGGAGCAAGCCCAGCTGGGAGGTGGGGAGAGGAGGAGGCAGAGGCAGTGGGGGAGGAAGGCTGCTCACCTCTCCAGGAGCAGCTCCACGGCGTCGCGGCGGCCGTGCATCGCTGGGGGAGAGAGGGGACAGGTTAGTTCAGCCTCTCAGGCCACCTACAGCAAAACGTGGCCAGGTTTGTGGCCCTGGTGATGCAGGAAAGGGGGGCAAGAAGCTTTAAATTTCCTTCTTCCTATAGGAAAACATCAGATAAGGCAAGGAAAGGGAAAACTCCCTGGCACTGCTGAGGACACGCGTGAGGGCGTCCACCCCATTGAGATCTTTTCTTGCAAAGGGAGTTGTTCAACCCTGAAGTGAAAAGTGCTGAGAAGCCCAAGGAGCCCAGAGCAGGGAGCTGCTGAGAGCTGCACGGGCTTCAGCACCCCTCCTGGGCTCCTCAAACCCATTGCTGCCACCTCATCATCCTCCTCACCCAGGCAGCCACCTCCCCGGGGGAGAAACAACAACAGTGGGGGAGGAGCTGAACACCCCCCCCACTGAAATATTCTCTGTCAGGGTTTTAAACACAATTTACAGCAGTCTAAGGATGGCCTTGATCTGGCTGGGTTCTCTGTCAGGGTTTTAAACACAATTTACAGCAGTCTAAGGATGGCCTTGATCTGGCTGGGTTTGAGGAGGTTTTTTTTCCTGCAGGTCATTGTGCAAAACAAATGAAAAAACATGAAAGAAAACAAACTATCAAAGCCAGCCTGGAGCTTCCACGTCAGCCTGTTGTGGGAAAAGGGCCCCTGACAAATGTGTGTTACCAGCAAGAACCTTCAGAGGCAGCTGCACAATAAATGCTCTTTGAAAACCCAACACGAGGTTCTCATCCTCCCAGATCTGGGCTTTTTCCTCCTCCCCCCTGCCTTGTTTTATCATCCCCGTGCATAAGCTGCTGGAAACAGAGGCACAATGGGAAAAGGATTTTTGGAAGGAAGGGTTTAAAAAACACAAGGTTACAGGAAGAAAAAACACCCTGAGCAGCCTCCTGGTTCCATCCAGAGTCAGAAGAAATCCACCCTTGCACTCCACTCCCTCTCCTCACATCTGCCTGGCTCTCCTGCCTCAGCCTAGGGGTAGAGGAAGCAGCAAGTTGGGAGGAATCAACCCCAAAAACAAAGGACAAAAAAAAAAAACAGGGAGAAAATTACCCATCTGTGGCTAAACTGTGCCAGGAAGGCAGCTGGGCTGGCCACGGGTTGATGTGCTCAGATCCACACCCCCAGGGATGAAAACTCACTGAGATGGTGGCTCCTCCTGACAGGACTCCCCCCAGCAGCTCCAGCACCCCCCCCAGCCCCTCAGCCTGTCTCTGGGTGACTGGGCTACGTGGTGGGGGTGAGGGGATGTGGGGGGGTTACTGGCACCAGCCCCCAGCATCACCCTGGGGTTAATAGGATCCTGGGGGCAAAGGTGGTTTAAGCAGCTCCAGCCCCTCTCCTGCCACCCAGTTGCTCCCACACCAGCTGCAGCTCCTGTGAGCCAGGGTCTGGATCAGTCAAAGGACCAAAAATCACCCCAAATCCTGGGGGTTGATTTCTGATCTGAGGGCTGGAGCAGCTCTGCTGTGAAGACAGGCTGAGGGAGTTGGGGTTGTTCAGCCTGGAGGAGGGTCCAGGA